GGGGGTGCGGTATCAAGAAGGGGCCCGGGGGTTACCAGGTTCTTTGGACTAGGGCTCCCATGGTTAGGTTACTTCTTTCTTTTTGTTTTTAAGAAAAAAAAAGAAAAGAAAATAAAAATAAAAAAAAGAAAAAAAAAGGGGGACCGGGGAGGGATATTTCCCTAGGAGGAATGAAAGGGCCAAAAATTCCCTCCGCGCCCAAGAGGACTCGACACCGCTAGTAGCGCAGATGCAGCATGGAACCCGTGCCATACCCTACCCTTCAATCCCAGTAAACCAGCAATCGGGATAGCAACCTCACATCTGCCGAGCTACCTCGGTGGAAAAAAGAGAGGGGGGGCCGGATATCCGCCACAAAGCATACCTCCTTCAGCCACCACCCCGGAATCCGAAAGGGGGGCTTCCAGAGATACACCGTCGCCCAAAAGACACCCAAAGCTACTCCGGGATACCGGAGAGGGATCGGGACATCCCTAGGCAATCCAGATTCCACGGCAAACTACGCCACCGCCAAGAAACCTCAACGGAATGGGATCGACCCCGGTGTCCTTTCCTCTACCTAGGAACTAGCGTGCCTGTGGGAGAAATCCCAAAGGACAAAAAGAGGAAGGGCAAAAGGGAGGAGTGGGGAGGAGGAGGAGGAAAGGAAAAAGGGGAGGATGGGGAGGATGGGATAGGGGAGGGGAGATTGGGGGGTAATTAGGTTCGGTCTGAGGAAGAAGACCGATAGGTCTAATTCCTCAGACCAAGAGCCTCTTCACCACGCCAAGGAGAATATTTGTCATAGAAAACAAAGTCTGCGTCTGCACAGACGAGACTCACCATCTTTGTTTCGAATTTTGTACAAACATTGGTGTAATGGGAAGAATTTTGTGTGCTCAAATAGGAGGCAAAATTGGTGGATGTGCATTCCTGCATAACTTGAGATATCAGACGACTGGACAATACAGCTCCAGCAACCTCGGACAGTTAGAGCGAGGTTTTCTGAGTATGTATATTTCATTTAATTAATAGGTCCAGAGCAACTTGTGGATATGACAGTGGTAGGTATCGAAGGGGGACATTTTTTGCGACCTAAGTGTCCCAAATTCCTACTTGTCTGATTAATAATAGTTATCATTGTTCATTTACTGTTTATATACACATACACATGGATATATATATATATATATATATATATATATTAATATATATATATATATATATTTTATATATATATATATATATTTTTTTTTTTTTTTTATTATCACACCCGGGCCCATTCCCCCAAGGCAGGGTGGCCCGAAAAAGAAAAACTTTCACCATCATTCACTCCCTCACTGTCTTTCCAGAAGGGTGGGTTTACACTACAGTTTTTAAACTGCAACATTAACACCCCTCCTTCAGAGTGCAGGCACTGTACTTCCCATCTCCAGGACTCAATTTCCGGCCTGCCGGTTTCCCTGAATCCCTTCATAAATGTTACTTTTGCTCACACTCCAACAGCACGTCAAGTATTAAAAACCATTGTCTCCATTCACTCCTATCAAAACACGCTCACGCATGCCTGCGGGAAGTCCAAGCCCCTCGCACACAAAACCTCCTTTCCCCCCTCCCTCCAACCCTTCCTAGGCCGAACCCTACCCCGCCTTCCTTCCACTACAGACTGATACACTCTTGAAGTCATTCTGTTTCGCTCATTCTCTCTACATGTCCGAACCACCTCAACAACCCTTCCTCACCCTCTGGAAAACGTTTTGGTAATCCCGCACCTCCCCCCTAACTTCAAATACGAATTCTCTGCTTTATATTCACACCACACATTCCCCTCAGACATGACATCTCCACTGCCTCCAGCCTTCTCCTCGCTGCAACATTCATCACCCACGCTTCACACCCTATAAGAGCGTTGGTAAACTATACTCTCATACATTCCCCTCTTTGCCTCCAAGGACAAAGTTCTTTGTCTCCCCCAGACTCCTAAGTCCCACCACTCACTTTTTTTTCCCTCATCAATTCTATGATTCACCTAAATCTTCATAGACCATCCGCTGACACGTCCACTCCCAAATATCTGAATACGTTCACCTCCTCCATACTCTTCCCTCCCAATCTGATATTCAATCTTTCATCACTAATCTTTTTGTTATCTCATAACTCTTACTCTTCCTGTATTCACTTTAATTTTCTTCTTTTGCACACCCTACAAATTCATCCACCAATCTCTGAATATCTTTCTCTTTTCAGAATCTCCAAGGGCACTGTGTCATACGGCAAAGAGCAGCCTGTGACAACTCCACAAGCTTGGTGTGTTTCTGAGTCTTTTAACTCAACGCCTCCTTGCTCCAAGACCCTCGCATTTACTTCATATTTCTTCACAATCTATAAATATATTAAACAACACGGTGACATCACACATCCTTGTCTAAGGCCTACTTTTATGGGATAAAAAAATTTCCCCTTTCCTACATACTATAACTTGAGCCTCACTATCCTCGTAAAAAAACTCTTCACTGCTTTCAGTAACCTACCTCTACAACCATAACCTTGCAACAGCTGCCACTCTTGCCCACTATCCACCCTGTCTTACGCTTGTCCTAAATCAATAAATGCCACAAAGACTCTATTGCCTTATCTTAAATACTGTATTCACTTTATATGGTTCACTGTAAACACCTGGTCCTCACACCCCTACCTTTCTAAGAGCCTCCTTGTTCATCTGACTCTCCTATTCTCCGTCTTACTCTTTAATTCTTTCAATTATAACTCTACATACACTTGACCTTGTACACTCAACAGACTTATCCACCTATAATATTTTGCACTATCTTTTATCCCCTTATGCCTGGTATACAACAGGGAACGTTTGCATGCTCTCTGCCATTACCTAGGTTCCTTTACCCTCTTCCAGACATTTATTAAATAATTGCACCAACCAACTCCAAAACTATATCCCACCTGCTTTTAAATTTTACTTTATTCCATCAATCCCGGATGCACTTACCACCTTTCATTTTTCCTACTGCCATCACGAACTTCCCCTCCACACTCACTATGGGCTCTTCTCACCGACATGATGTTATTCCTCCTTGCCATATAACACGTAAATCACAGCCTTCCCTATCTTCATCAAACATTTAACAATTCCTCAAATATTCCTTCCATATTCCCAATACCTCTATCTCTCCATTTAATAAACTCTCCTCTCCTATTTTTTTATTGCAAATCATTGGTTCTCTAGGCTTTCTGAACTGTTAATCGCACTCCAAAAACATTTCTTATTATTCCTCACAAAATTTGTTGATAAACATCCAACCCTCTCTTCTTTTGCTCTCTGTTTACATTGCTTCACACTATATTAACTTCTCTTCTTTTTCATCCATATTCTCTTCCCTCCTTGCATCACTTCTTACTTGTAAAAACTTCTCAGTTGCTAACTTTTTATCCTTTTACTACTCTCTTAACATCTTCATTCCACCCAATCGCTCCTCTTCCCTCTGCACACACTTTCCTGTAAAACACAAACTTCTGCTGAACCACACTAACAATACATTTTTAAAACCTACCCATAACTCTTAGACCCCATTGCCTATGCTCTCTTATATTCGATCTATATTTATTTTATAATATATATATATTTATATAATATATATATATATATCTCTATCCAAGTAAATGCTAATTTTCAAACCTTCTACCTTTAATTATACCTTGGATGAAATTTCGAGAGTATTCTGCTGAGCTCAGCCTGGACCAGTTTGTCAGGTGCTTGCTGGTCAACAAGCGTTTGATGCTGGAGACCCCACCTGTCCCACATACCATCTCAGCATGGTTGATTGGCACCTGGTTGGAAGAACTCTAGTTTCCTCTTGAAGGCTTCCACACTTCTTCCAGCCGATGTTGCTGGTTTATTTCTGGAAAGATGTTTGAATAAGTCTGGGACCCCGGATGTTGAGTGTTCCCCTATTGTCCCCACCGCACCCCTGCTCCTCACCGGGTTTATTTTACACCTCCTCCCATATTTCTCACTCGTGTGTTATCGTAGTGTGCAGCTTTGGGACCAGGCCCTCTGAGTACTTTTCCAGGTATATTTATCTCTCCGCTCCAACGAATGTATGTTCGAGACTTGCAGGCGTTCCCGGTACTTCAGGTGCTTTACTGGCCGCATTATTATTATAATCAAAAAGAAGCGCTAAGCCACAAGGGCTATACAGCGCTGCTTTACTGGCCACAAACGATCTATTGTTCCAGCTCCCATATTTTTCCTGCTTTTGAACGGGTCCGTCAGCACTGAGCAATATTTTAAGTGACGGAGCACTAGCGATTCCAGTGTCACCATCGGAATTATTTCCCTTCTTTGAAAATTCTCAATACCCACCCTGTCATAATCTGTCTTGTTATGGTCCTTAAAAGAAATGTATACTGTTCCTTTCGAGTTAATTTTTTTTTTCCATACCCAAGCAGCTGGAACTTATCACCATGTTCTCCACTGCCCACTGGAAAACCGTTTATGTTTTCCTGTACTTTTTCAGTGTCCTTTACCAGTGATTGTCGTCTGCAAATTATAAATAATGTGCGGGGTGTTTTTTGTCTGCTATGAGGACGAGAAACAGCAGGTGTCAGGACAGCACCTTGGGGCAGATTATCAAGGGGGAAGTGTTAAACCCGGAGGATTATACAGCGCCTGGGGGGTGGATGTGGAAGGCATTCAGGCTTAATTCGGGGAACTGGAACAGATCCAATTCCCTAAATCAAGAGCCCCTCACCAACATCAAGGAACCTTGGGGCAGAGCTTTTGACCTCGCTGTTGCTGGATCTTGCCCTGTTCACTACCAGTGTGTTGTGTTAGGAGCCCGTAAATCCATCTGCCTACCTTCCCCGTAATGCCCATGGCCTCCACTTTGTGCCCTACCACTCCATGATCACATTTGTCAAACACCTTTGCATGTGTAAATCAATCTGCGTTTTGGTCGTCTTCCAATGCCTCCCTGTCAGTGGTTCAGCAGCTGTGACGGGCATAATCGTCCTGCTCTAAAACCATGCTGGTTCAACCGGCCCATTTAATTTGTAATCTCTCGTCTCATCACTCTTTCAAAAGATTTTTATGCGAGAGGTTAGGGCTACTGGTCTAATTTTTAGCTAGTGCTCTACCTCTGTACTCTAAAGCCTCCGGTATTTCACCTAGATCTAAGCTTTCTCCAAAGAATGGCGAGCGCTTGTGCTAATGGTACTTAACACTTTATGAACAGAACAGAGCATTCCATGAATCTGGTCCAGGTGCTGAGTGGGTAGGTATGCTGTCCATTTCACTTCCGAAAACTATGGGATTTGTACTAATAGTAGTTAGTTGGTCTGTGCAGCCTTCTTATATTTTTTTTTATATTCAATACAAAATAATGGTTAATGAATGTTTAAAGTGGTAAAGTGCAGGCAATATGAGGTAGACTTCACAGACTAGAGGGAAGTAAACCAGACATGCAACTATTCTCAACATTATGAGGCTTTCCCTGGTGTAACAGGTCATGGATAGTAGCACAAGGGGAGGGGGGTTATAATCTCTAGACAACTGATTTAGAGGAAATTTCAACCATTACCACTTTTCAAAGGAGATGCTACACGAAAGGGTTAAAGAAAATTCGTAATTTATTGAAATTTCAATATTTATAAATAGAAATTCTATCTAGAATCCAAAAACAGATCCACTGAGTAACCAAAAATGCACTCATCACGGTAGCAAATTTAATGTGAATCTTCTCTTGCCATACTGTAGCCAGAAAAGGCCAGCACTATACATCAGAGCCTGGAAAAAAAGAAATTAGGGTTTCTAATATCTATGAAACAAATCCTATGAATAAACTTGCATGAGTATTCAACTATCACTATTTTTATTAGTATTAGTCCATTAATTATTTTATGATCCAAATTAATTATAAGCATTCACTGAAACTAATGCACAATGTAATATTTGAAAACTAGTCAACTTTAAATTACTTTGTGATAAAACTTCCAGCCTACCTTTATACTTTCCCGTGATTTCCAAAACTCGATAGAGCCACCTGAAAAGAAATCCATAATGAAGATAGGGGAATACAGGAAAAAAAAACTAGTAGCAGTAAACTTTTTAAAGATTCAGACAAATGCCTCTAAACATCAAGCTACAACTTCCTAAGGGTGCTGAAGCAGCATCACAGAACGTGGTAACAAACCTCAACAGATCCTCAGCAAGAAGCAGGTCAGAAAAAAGTAAAGGTAGTATCATTTTATCATCATATATTTACAAACGCAATTAATGCGCTTTATTACTGGCTTGGCTTCACAGGCTTAAACCTTTTAGATTCTTCCCTCCCCTAGTCTTTTCACATTAGATACCATTTATCCGAGAAAACAGGGCTGGTTTCCTTTGACCAGTGCCACTTGCTAAAATCAACAAGATAAATAAAAGGGGAGATATTTTTAAATTAATAAAGTACCTTTTTCAGGGGAAAATGACAACCTTTTGAAGGCACTTTATTATTCCATCACTGACAGCTTCAGCAGTAAATACTCCCCATATTATATCCAATCTATTCCATTAACTTTCATGGATTACAATATACAGTGGAACCTTGCCACTAACTTAATTCATTCCAGGAAGCTGTTCGAGTACTGATTTGTCCGAGTACCAAACAAATTTTTCCCAACCAACTTTCTTTTTGGCGAACAGTTCAAGTACAGAGGTTCCACTATTGTGGAAAGGGGCCAGAAGCAATCAAACTTAAAACATATCTAACCTACCACTGAAGAAAGGCAATGATCAGCAAGTGCAGCAAACTAAAGCAGCCCAAAGATCACATGGTACTACCGAGGAAAATGTTATGTTGTTAGTAAAGAGTACTGAACACTCACTAGGCTAAAGCTGAAGACAGTTATTACACTTTTCCTAGTTACAAAAGGATTTCCAGTAAACAGCAAGACAGAGCAAATGATTGTGCTTCAGGAGACTTCCTTCAATCAAATATAACTGCTAGTGTACCTATATAAATGTCATTAACATTAATTGGTATTTGCCCAAATGGAAGACATACTACTGAAAGGTGATTTTTTTTTTCAGGACCACAAGTAGCTTGAAAGCAAGCAGATTTTTCCCAAGGAAATGTTTGTGCCAGGAATGTCTAGTGTTTATTTTAATATGGGTATTTCTGCAAAACTGGTCAAATACAGACCTCTCTACACTTCATGGTTGAATGGAGCAATGGAAATTGCTGATGCAAATACTGCCCAGATACCACTAAGTCTGTGCAATTCTACAAGTCTTCTATCAAATTAATACTTTTGGTGTCATTACCTACAGAAAGATTCTCTACCATTCCAGATTTTTTTTTGACGTGGGCAACGAAATTTCGGGTTTCAGAGTGAAAGGTTAAGAGAGAATACAGTAGGGCCCTGCCTTAAGGTGTTTCACTAATATGGACATTTCAAATTATGACCAAAATTCTCTATACTGCTCCCCCGATCTTTTTAATATGGTCACAGCACCCCACCCGGGTTCACATTCTTTGAGCACATCTATTGTCTTGAAACTTACAAAATAAACATGAAAATTAAAATTTAACATTCAAACTAGTGTGATCAGCCTGAAGGCATAAGCAAATTTTTTCTGCTACAAGCAGCAATGACTATAGCTATGTAAATCTTTTCAAATGGCTATTTAAAATCAAATTTACCTCACCTGTAGATGGTGTAATAAAGCACCTTCCCATCCTGTAAAGAAAGATTCAATTCAGTAGTAATTACAACAGTGACAATTGTTAATTAAAGCTATTATCAAATCAGGCATGGGTATTCTACACAAAAGGTTAAGTGACGAATATCTTCAGGAGACTCATCCTAATATCATCATAATTACAAGCCTTAGTACACCTACACAAAACTGTTAAATTATATTTAATGAATTTCTCCAGTTAGTATGATTTTCAATGCATTTAATGCAAGTGGAATTTCAGAATTCTGAAATGTCAAACATTGGAAATACCTTACACCACTCCTACATTTCAGATGGCTCACCATTTGAAAGCCTGAATTGCAGATATACAATGCTTTGATTGTAATCACTATTATGCTAAACTTTATATACTATTTTTATCTTGTGATATGCAATTTGTGGTACTTGAATGTTACAACTTTATTCAATATTACAAAAAGGTTTTTAAATATTTACCTCAGTCTTCTTGGTTGAGGTTGAGAGACCCAGGGGTACTGCAAAGTAGTCTGCACATTACACATGTACCTTCAGAAAATTGAGATACATTTAAAAACAGGCTAATCAGAAATCGAATCAAAACTATTAAGACTGGGGCGATAGAGCCATCACAGTAGCTACCTTGTCCCCATAAATTTTGCAAGAGTAAAGTTAAAAATTGCAGAATCGCTGCCACCTCATCCCAGCAAGTCAATTTTTGAATGTAGTATATAACTAATTAGCAAACCCAAACTACAACAGTTTATGCATTTAAAAATCATTCCTGTTTACCATTAAAATATTTTGCCAAAAAATACATTAGATGCCATAGGTGAACTAATATTAATCCTTTCAGCGTCACGACCCCTGCTCGCAAACTTGCTCCGAAGGTAATGAAACCAAAATTACAAAATTTTACAGAAAACCTTTGGAATTACACTCTTGAAGTTAGCAGTCGTAAGTGGCATTTAGGCATCAATGATTTCATCCCCTCTGAACCCTATTTTAGGCCAATTTAATTATTGCAGCCTACCAAATTCATAGCCATTTCACTAAAACTAAAACTTATTTTATTGGGTACAAGAAACTGCCTATTACCTATTTCAACTACATCAGAAATTACTAATTTTGCCAATTTTACACAAAATTACTCCCTTCTTATATTACACTTGCATTTCATTTTGAATTTTTATTCACAAAAATTATATTAGATGATTTACTGTTATTCAGAACACAATAATTGTATAATATTAGCACATTCATGAATGCACATTAGACTCAAAGGGGATGTAAATAGCATGCTGAAAATTTCCAGCCAAGACAGGCCTTGCAGCAATGGTTTAAAGATGGAAAAATCCAGATTTAGAGTTGTGGACGAGTGGAACAAAGTCCCAAGTACAGTCAAGGCTAAAACGTTGTGTAGTTTTAAAAATAGGTTAGATAAATACAGGAGTGGGTGCGAGTTGGACCTGGCTAGCTTATGCTGCTGGGTCTGGTGCCGTGCTCCTTCCTTGAGTGGAGGTGATGAGACTGGGTGGGTCATTGGGCTAATCCGGGGGAGGGGGGGGGGGGGGCAGAGCATGGACCTGCTTGGCATGGGTCAGTAGGCCTATTGCAGTGTTCCTTATGTTCTTATCACCAGCAAAACAGTTATTGCTGATGCAGGCAAATTTCATAGATGATTAAGAGTAAAATATTTAGGGCAAATATGGCTAAGAGGGTGCAAATTGACAACTAAATAGGTCAAGTGGAGCCAAGTGCCAAGACAAGCCCCCAACAACAATGAAAAGCCAGTAATCCTAAGCAAGTGCAGAACAAAATTCAAAGACAAATTTATCAGTTAATAATCTAACCTTGCACTAACTGGATCAGAGTAAGAAAAGGTTGCCCAGGGACACCTGTTAAAAGAAAAAATAATTAGAAAAAATTTGATTACAAAATATTTAATGTTATACTATTCTTAATTCAGTTCTGGCACATTTCATGTATATCAAATAATGTAGGTATAAAGCATCATGATTATCCTTAAATAGATAATACTTATGAATTAAGGCAACTTATGTTTAGTTATGTTCAGGATACCTAACTAGAGTACATTCTGTAGTGATTATGGCAATTAACCAGAAGGAACATTCACTATTTCACAATGTAGCAATAACCACAATTAAACCATACCCCCGGCCGGGACTGAACCCGCAGTCATAGAGTCAAAACTCCAGCCCGTCGCGTTAGCCACTAGACCAGCTAGCCACAATAAGATTCATCCAACTAGGTATATTTCTACACCATAGGAAGGTTAGCACAGGCACCACTGTGACCACAAATGCAAGTTTTTACAGACGAATCTCCAGCTAGAGTGGCCGTGACGAACTCTAGCTCAAGTCCCTTCACTGCCGTCAACATGACTCAAGAAATCGTAATGACACGATTGCAAACAAACCATACCAATCGTGTCATTACGATTTCTTGAGTAAATAACCACAACTCAAATTACCCTTGAAATTTTAACACTGCATCCCCATCCTTTAAAACACAAACACTATTCCCTATCTCCTGAACTACAATTCTCCATCTGCCACTCCCTCCCTGTGTGCATGTACGATTGTGTATATACATTGCGTCCATCCCTCATGTTAGTCCATACCTACCTGGACGTCTCACTCCCCATCTTTCCATTACTCTTCTAAAACATTCCTACTGAATGCTAAGCCCCCAAACTAAGAAATTATCTTCACCCAATTATTAGTAATATAAATTACTTTTCATAAACACACACTTTTAAACTTATAAATATTTACCTCCAAAGACTTCCTGGTTGACAGCCCAGAGGCACTGGGTGGTTGCTGTCTACCAACCTACTACCTATCTACCATCTACAAATATATTCAACAACCACGGTGACATCACACATCCTTGTCTAAGGCCTACTTTTACTGGGAAATAATTTCCCTCTTTCCTACATACTCTAACTTGAGCCTCACTATCCTCATAAAAACTCTTCATTGCTTTCAGTAACCTACACCATACACCTGCAACATCTGCCACATTGCTCCCCTATCCACCCTGTCATACGCCTCTTCCAAATCCATAAATGCCACAAAGACCTCTAACCTTATTTAGCCACACACACCCTACCTTTCCTAAAGCCTCCTTGTTCATCTGCTATCCTATTCTCAGTCTTACTCTTAATTCTTTCAATAACTACCACACACGTTACCAGGTATACTCAAACTTATCCCCCTATAATTTTTTCACTCTTTTGTCCCCTTTGCCTTTATACAAAGGAACTATGCATGCTTTCTGCCAATCCCTAGGTACCTTACCTTCTTCCATACATTAAATAATTGCACCAACCACTCCAAAACTATACATATCAAATATACATATACATGTATACATATACATATCAATGTAGGCATAAAGCATCATGATTATCCTTAAAAAGATAATACTTAGGAATTAAGGCAACTTATGTTCAGTTATGTTCAGGTTACCTAACTAGAGTACATTCTGTAGTGATTATGGCAATAAACCAAAAGGAACATTCACTATTTCACAATGTAGCAATAACCACAATTCAAATTACCCTTGAAATTTTAACACTGCATCCCCATCCTTTAAAATACAAACACACTATTCCCTAACTCCTGAACTACATCTCTCCATCTGCCACTCCCTCCCTGTGTGCATGTATGATTGTGTATATACATTGTGCCCATCCCTCATGTTAGTTCGTACCTACCTGGACATCACTCCATCTTTCCATTACTCTTCTAAAACATTCCTACTAAATGCTAAGCCCCCAAACTAGGAAATTATCTTCACCCAATTACTAGTAGTATAAATTACTTTTCATAAACATGCACTTTTGAACTTACAAACATTTACCTCCAAAGACTTCCTGGTTGACAGCCCAGAGGCACTGCAAAGAAGATCAGTACATTAGAGACACGGCTTTAGAGAATTTAATTATCCTGTTTAGTGTTAATCAGAAATCGAATCGGCAAAACCATTACGACTGGGGCGATAGAGTCATCACATTAATTTTGCATAGAGAAAAAAAATTTGAAAACATTGAAGAATCACCTTGCCAACTTATCCCAGTACTTTTGCTAACATAACCCCTCTCAGTGGCATTCACACAAGACATCACAGCCAAAATGGAAGGAAAGTAATATATAGGAGAGGCCTGGGGACACAAATAATGAAAAGGTAATGTTTGTGCTAGGAATGCCTACATAGTTTTCCATTTTTTTTATATATAGGATCTTTTGGAATAAAAATATCCAAATTGCAGATTTCTGTACAGTTTCTTGCACTTATTTGATAAAACAAAGGCACATTAGCAAAATAGCTAAGAATCTGGTTGAATGCAGCAATGTAATTACTCAAAATAGGACCCAAAGAAAGTGAAATCGCCAATGTGTAAATTGCACTCGGAATGCTTACTTTGTGCCCGTGTAACTGACATTCCATCAAACTTGGTATTTTTTATATTACTTTCAGTGTATGTTTACTATAAGAATTTAACCCTTTAACTGTGAGAGACTGGGGAAAAAAATTCTTTGGGGTGGGGTGGGGAGGGGATTTTGAGAGAGAAAAAAAAAACTTAGTTTGATAGTTAACTTTTCAACTGAATATGACTAGAGTGAGTGGAATCTGAAGCTGGTGAAAAAATAATCACTAACTGGCAACAGGGGCATCAAAGCACCAGCAATCATTAGGCTTAATAATTTACTGACACTGTTGTATGATTTTTTTATATTAGATGTGTTTCAAGGTGTTTTAGCATTTCAAACATTGCTTCACTCAAGTGGGACCTGCACACGAGTAAACAGAATTATAACACAAAAACGTTAGAACATGTAGGTAGTAGGTTGGTAGACAGCAACCATTTGGAAAGTTACTAGCATACTGCCAAGCGAATGTACAATGGAAGCCTGCATCTGTTACACAATAGTAAGATTGCTGGTGTCTTTTCTGTCTCAAACATGAGATTTCAGCTACGTCTTGCTACTTTACTTAACCCCTTCAGGGTCCAAGGCCCAAATCTGAAGTGGTGCCCCAGTGTCCAAGAATTAAAAAAAAAAAAAAAAAAAAAAAAAAAAAAAAAAAAATTTTTTCTTATGAAATGGTAGAGAATCTTTTTGTGAAGGTAATAAAACAAAAAGTACGAAACTTGATGGAAAATTGACGAGATTATGCTCTCGCAAATTTTGATGTGTCAGCGATATTTACGAATCTGCAATTTTGCCGACTTTGACTCCCATCTTAGGCCAATTACATTATTCCAGTCAACCAAATTCTTAGCTATTTCACTACTATTACTTCTATTCTATCGATTGAGCACAAGAAACCACCAAGTCTACTGTTTCAACTACAAATTAAAGTTATCGGAAATTGTTAATTTGGCCAATTTAACACAAAATTCAAAATATTCCAATTTCAAAATAGGGTCCAGAATAAACAATGTAGGTATTCCTGGAACTAAACTAACATTTCCTCTGTTCATTAGTTACGTTTTGAAGCTTTGCAAATAAATTCCATTTTGATTTCTTATTCACATAATGAATTTTTATTCACACCATAAAATAGAAGATTTACTGTTATGCAATACTGTAATAATTGTATAAATATCACCATATTTGTGAATGCATATTAGACCCACCAGCTGGCGTGTATTAGACGTGTGAGGTCGTTTGTTTACTCTTGAATATCGGCAAAAATTTAACATTTCTGCTACTTTGAGCTCAGTTTCAAGCCATTTCCAGTGCTAAAACCAATCAAAGTCATCTCTATTTCTGTAATATGTCTTCCATTCTATCAAATGAGACCAAGAAATCGCAAATAGAACTATAAAAAACATGAAAAAACACTGCAAAGTCGCTGTTTTAATCTAAAAATCATTATTTCAGTTTTTTCTCGCATTATACACAGCGTGCTGCAGGATCTGTTTTATGTGGTGCACACATACCACAGATGTATTCTCTCATATCTAGGCCCAAATGTACCAGTTTATCAGAGTGAGCCGAGCTCATGACGTAGATCTACGGTTTGGACCCTGAACGTAAAGCCGTAGATCTACGGGACGGACCCTCAAAGGGTTAAACTTACGTCACACTACAGATGCATACATATTTATGTATACACTTACCTGAGTTTTAATTGATTTTATCTTAATACATATTTCTTGTTCTCGTTACTTTTCCTTTCACATCCATGGGGAGTGGAGTAAATCTTTCCTCCATAAGCCGTAGTGTCGTAAAAAGTCAACTTAAATGCTGGGAGCAATGGGCTAGTAACCCCTTTTCCCATATAGCCTACTAAATAGAAAAAGAACAAAACTGCCCAAGTGGGATGTTTGAATGTGCGCAGCTGTAGTGCAAATTAGACGATTGTGGATGCTATGAATGAAAAGTTGGAAGTCATGGCCAAGTGAAGCAAAGCCAAAAGGGAGTAAGATTTCAGTGGGGAGAAAAACAGGATTAGGTCAGGGGCTTCTAATAGAGCTAAGGAAGGAGTAGCAATAGTGCCAGGAAAAGAAGGAATATAAATGTATAAATTCAGAGATTATGTGGAGTAAAATAAGGGCAAGATGTGAAAAGTGGGTTATAATAAGTGTTTATGCACCTGCAGAAGACAGAAGAGTAGAGGACAGATATATTTTGGGAAGTGTAGAGTGTGTGGGGAGTTTTGAATCGAGCAAGAGAGTACTTGTGGTTGGGGATGTCAATGAAGGTACCTAGAGATTGGCAGAGCATGTGTAATTCCTTTATATAACAGGGAGACAAATATTTTTAAAAATATAGGGGAATAAGTTTACAGAGTATACCAGGTAAAGTGTATGGTAGGGTTATTGAAAGAGCAGGATTGCAGACGAGCAAGAGGCTTTAGAATGGGTAGGGGATGTGTAGATCAGATGTTTACAGTGAAGCATACATGTCAACAGTATCTAGGTAAAGGCAGGGAAGTTTTCATTGCATTTATGGATTTAGAAAAGGCATACGTTGGTTGACAGCAACCACTCTTACATGGGTGTGAAACATGGGTGACGAATGTTGCAATGAGAAGGCTGGAGGCAGTGATGTCACATCCAAGGACAATGTGTGGTGTGGATATAACGCAGAGAATCTGTAGTTTGGAAATTAGGTGTGGGATTACCAAAACTATCCCGAGGGCTGATTAGGGGTTATCGAGATGGTTTGGACATTTAGAGAGGAAGGAATGAAATAGAATGAGTATACATCTGTAGTGGGGGCAAAGACAGGGTAGGCCTAGTAAAGGTTGGAGGGGGTAAAGGTTTTGTGTGCAAGGGGCTTGGACTTCCAGCATGTTAGACAGGAGATGGGAAGTACAGAGTTATGTTGCAGTTTTAAAACTGTAGTGTAAGCATGCCTCTAGCTGCCCACCCTGCCTTGGTGGGAAATGGCCGATGTGAAGAAAAAAAAAAAAAAAAAAAAAAGATACGAGTGGATAGAGAAGCAATGTGGCAGATACTGCAAGTGCTGAGAAGAGTTTTTGTGAGGGTAGCGAGGCTCAGGTTAGGGTGTGTAGGAGAGGGAGATCACTTCCCAGTAAAAGTAGATCTTAGACAGGGATGTGTAATGTCACCATGGTTGTTTAGCATTCAAAGAGGGGATTGTAAAAGTAATAGCTAGGGTGTTGGGGAGGGGTGGGATTAAATTATGGGGAATCAAATACAAAATGATAGTTACTTTGTGTTGCTAACATCGTGCTTACGGGATATTCTGAAGTGAAGTGGCAAAGGTTAACAGACGAGTTTGGGAGGGTGTACATGTTACATAGCAAGTTTAGTAAAAATTTTGAAAAGATATCACACGGATTAATTAAAATGACTGTATTAACCCTTTGACTGTTTACGCAGTATAAATACGTCTTACGAGCCAATGTTTCTGACGCATATATACTCTAATTCTAGCGGCTTCAAATCAAGCGGGAGAAAGCTGGTAGGCCCACATGTTAGAGAGGGTGTGTGTGGTCAGTGTGCACCACAAAAATCCTGCAGCGCAGAGTGCGTAATGAGAAAAAAAAAAATGATCTTTTTTTGGATTAAAGCACAGACTTTGAGGTGTATTTTCGTATAGTATTTATCGTTGTATTTGCGTATTCATGGTCTTAGGTGATGAAATGGAAAACGTATTACAGGAATAGAGATGATTTTCATTACTTTGACGATTAAAACGACCTTGAAACCGAGCTCAAAGTAGCGGAAATGTTCGATTTTACCAATGTTCAGGAGTAAACAAATCACACCACACGTCAACTGGGGAGTCTAATTCTTTCACTAGTGCACTGATATTATTTATACCATTTTTACAATAATGCAGTTGTCTGCATACCAGTAAATTTTTGTATGAATAAAAAATCAAAATAGAAAGCAATAATATAAGAGGGGCCTAGAAATGTGACTAATGAACAGAGGATATGTTATTTTAGAGCCAAGAATGTCTACCTTGTTCATTCTGGACCCTATTTTGAAATTGGCATCTTTTTTAATTTGCGTGAAATTGGCCAAATTGCAAATTTCTGACCACTATATTGGGTAGTTCAAATTGGTAAATGGGCAGTTTCTTGTACTCAGCTGATAGATAAAATGGAGTTCTAAAGAAATAGCTATGAATTTGGTCAACTGGAACAACGGAATTGGCTGAAAACAGGGCTCAAAGTTGGCGAAATTGCTGATACAAACATTTTGCCAAGACCGCTAATTTCGCGGGAGCATAATTCCCAGAGTTTTCGACCAAATTTTGAACTTTTGGTGTCATTACCATCGGGAAAAGATTCTCTATCATTTCATAAGAATTTTTTTTTTTTTTCCAAAAATTTATCGACATTGAATGACAGTTTCAGTAAAGGGCCTGCGACAGTCAAAGGGTTAACGTAACTTAATGTCTGACATTA